CCCCCCACCTCCCCCAGAGTCTCACCTCTCCCCCTCCCAGACCCCTACTCACAGCGCCTCCAGATACATGGTCCTGAGGCTCAGAAGCTCTCCCCAGTGAACGTCATCATTATGTACTGCAAACATGTGCTAATAGGGAAAAAAAAAAAAAAAAAAAAAGCTCTTCCAAATCCTGCCACTTTTGCTTGGATTCATGGTTCACACACAGTATTCATGATTCACAGGCATGTTTTCGGTCTCCACTCTGCCACACACTTTTCCCAAGTTCCAAAGTGTTCCTTAAAGAAAGGTTCCATACCCAACCTCTGCCACACCATTCTCCAGTTCAAAAATCTCTATTTTACTCTATTTTTTAATTTTTTTCTCCAATAAAGACAAGACATAGGATCAAAATATTCAGTGAATGTTTGTATTATTTTTAAATGTATTACAATAAAAGATAGGTTGCCATAATTCCCCTATAAATACTTTTCCTCACTTCATACACAGTTATCTCATCATTCTTGCCTCTTTCTGGAGCAGTTCTGGAAGTTCCCTTTCATGAACGCCTTTACAAGCTATGATTAAAAAATGCAGTGAATGCAACTACTGACTGACATCCAATAGAAAGGCAGGCTTATAAAAACATGGCAGTGTGTCCTCATCCACCTTATTCACCAAATATGGCAAGACTTCCAGCTCTTCCCCAAAGTCAAAATGACCATAAAAGATAAATGTTTTGAATGGATTCAGGACACTGAGCAAGCCATGACAGTGCAACTAAAGACACTCAGGAAAGAGGACTCCAGAGCTGCTTCAGAAAGTGGCAAGAATGATGGCGTGTGTTTGGAATGAGGAGGAGGATTTTGAGGGGGCTTAATGGCAATGTGTCTTTTACTGTAATAAATTTTTTAAAATTTAAACATTGCCTGCATTTTTCTATCATACCCCATACATTATATTTGTGCTGAAAGAAGTGTTATTTAAAATATAAGAAAGGTCAAATCCAGTCTCCTCTGCCCTCCCACTGCACACTGACGCATTAAATTCCACATCCTTCATTCTCACAGCTCCCCATCAAGAACCCCTCCTTCCAGCAGAGACACTGATTTGTCCAGCAGCTGCTGAGTACCTACTCTGTGTGCAGAATGCACCTTGCAGAATTCAGCCTCCATCCCTACCTGGACCATCTTCTCGCCTCTTCAGCAAGGCAACTGACCTCCTACAGAGGCTGATCATGATGATGTACCCAAACTGATAAAATGTTTCAACACAAGGGGAAATATAAATCTAGTGTGTTTCCCTATAAGTTTTATATATTCATGTATTTAACAACTACTATTTATTGAGCATTTACAACATTCAGAGCACTTTATAAATCTCTTATTTCATCTTCACAACAACCATATTATCCCTTTTATTATTCCTATATTTCAGAGGAGAAGACTGGAGCCCAGAGAGGCTGAAATGCTTTCCTGTGGTTACACAGGTCTCAGTGGTAGAGTTGTTTTCTAACTTCAGCATATCTGGCACCAAGCACATATTCTTCATTACTAACCTGAGCTGGAAGAACTAGACAACCAGGTACGGCTTTTCCTCGGATTGAGTCTAAGGCTCAGCTGGCATCAGAGACCTGGGCCAGGCAGCTTCTCTGGGAGCTTGGTTCAAAGTCAATGGTGCAAGCTGAGGTCCACGTCCTCTGGACAGAGTGGCACTCAGGAAGGAACCAGAGCCCGGGAAGTAGGACACCACCAACCACAGCCTCCTTCTCTAGGCTGAGCTTCATGAAACCAGGCCAGGATGTGCACCAGCCAAGGAGTCAGCCTTGCCCTCAGCCAGAAACACACCCTACTCGCCACAAGTACACTGAACTGCTTCTGTGTGACCCTCAGTGAAGCCCTTGTGAATTCCATCCTCCCAGCAGCCCAGTGCTTCCTGTAGGCCCAAGTGTTTGTGCTGCAGGATAATGCCTCTCAGATGGCCACGTCTCCCTGGCCAATTTGGCTACAAACATTTTGAGGTTGGAGCCCTACCTTCTATTTTCTATGTTCTCTGACATCCCTCCCCAACCCCAGCAAGGTCAAAGCCTATTCAATAACACTTGCTAGGCCATTAAAAATGACCAAATGACATCAAGGTGGCCACATTGGGGCCAGGGATTTAGCTCAGTGGTTTTGCTGCCTGCTGCACAACCACAAGGACCCGAGTTCGATCCCCCGTACCAAAAAAAAAAAAAAAGAGTGGCCACATTGAACAGGCTATTTTAAAATTAACTAGAATGAAATGCAAATTAAGGGGAAATTATTTGTTATTGCTGTTTTCCCATGTGAGAGGCATAGTTTCAATCAGAACATGTAAAACTCCTCAGACATATTTGTTCCTACATTTGTACCTTTACCAGATGTCTTGCACAATTAGACATCTGTCCAAAGACAGAAAAATTTGCATTTGGATGCTTGTATTAGAGGCAGGAAATACAACATAATAGTTAGGAGTCCCAGTTGGGGAATTAGAGAGACTTTGATTCCAATTCCATCTCTGTGACGTGCTGGCTGACCATGGTCAAGACATTCCTCCTCTCTGAGCCTCAGTTTTCTCCTTTGGAAATAGTAATTAAAAGTACTCTTCTTGTTCATACCTAGTGGGATGCCTATTATCTAAAGACAAAACAAAACAAAAACAAAAAAGTATTGGCAAGGATGTGGAGAAATTGGAACCCTTGTGCGTTGCTGGTTGGGATGTAAAATGATACAACTGCTATGGAAAACAGTACGGCAGTTCCTCAAAAAATTAAACACAGAATTACCATATGACCCAGCAATCCCACTTCTGGGTACATACCCAAACGAACTGAAAGCAGGAACTCAAGCAGATATTTAAATACTCATGTTTATAGCAACCGTATTCACGCTAGCTAAATTATGGAAACGACCAAAAAGTCTACTGAAAAATGAATGGATACACAAAATATAGTATATGCATACAATGACTATTATACAGCCTGAAAAGAAAGGAGATTCTCACATTTGCTACAACATAGACAAACCTTGAAGACATGAGCCAAATGAAATAAACCAGTCTCAACGGGTTAAATGTTGTGTTGCACTTCTATCAGGTACCTAGAGTAGTCAGATTCACAGACACAGAAAGTAGAATGGAAGGAAGTTCTGGAGATGGAAAGTGGTGACAGTTGCACAAAAATGTGAATTTACTTAATGCCATTGAACTATATACTTTCAAATGGTTACATTTTACAGTTGTATATGTTTTACCCCAATAAAAAGTGACTTCTCTATAGTTTTGTTGGAAGGTTAAATGGATTAACATTGGTAAAGCAACTAACAGTCCCTATTGGTTTGGGTTACTAAATTGTAGATATCACCTTCATTGCCTTCAGTCCTCAGACCCAGTGGCTGAATTCTGACCAGCCCAGGGCCTACAAGAGGACAGAACAAGGAGAAATGAGAAACCCCAGCCTGATGAGGAGGGATTATAACTAGACAGAAATGTAGAGAGAATCCAGGACCCCAGGGAGACACAAATTCAAAAAAACTTCAAGGCCAAACAAAAGAGGACCTGAAAAGGACAGGAGGGAAAAGATCTGCCGTGGGAGGCCAGTGAGACAGGCAGAGTTGTCAGAGCCGATATCACATGTCTGTTAAATTGAATGTCAGATAAGTAGCAAAACAGGTTTTAGTACAAATGTGTCACCAATATTGCATAACCCTGTTGTATTGCATGGGACTGAAAATGTATTCGTTGTTTATCTGAAATTCAAGTTCAACTGGGCATCTTGTGTTTTTACTCTCTAAGTCTGGCCATCCTAGGGAAAGAGGCATGGCTGGACCTTTGGTGCTTTTTACTAAGTTACTGTAGGATGTCTGCAGGTTATAGAATAATTGGGACAGGGCAGTGGTTGGGAGCTGGGAGTGGGATAGGATTCTTGGCTTTACAAACATATTCTTTCACAATTGAGCCCCTATAAACCCAGTTTCCTCAGGAAGTCTTAACATAGAAATTAACTTTCAAAACTTAAGTGTGCAGCTCTGCTTTTGAAAGTACTTACCTGTGAAGATGCAGGGCCTGGTAGGCCACAGTCCATCAAGCTATGGTTCTTCTGGCTTCTGTGAGAAAAGGGGGTGGTAACTGATCCCAATCCCCCTGCAGAGGAGTCTGGTCATTAAAGACCTGGTCACCACCCTGCATCCACAGGGTCTGGTCCACCCAATCAAGGTTCCTGCCAAGGCCCCTGCACTTCAGCCAAGGCCCTGTGATCATTTGTGTAAAGGGCAGTCCCTACTCCCCTGAAAGCAGAGACCTGGAAAGGGCTTGGTCTATGTAAAACCAAACACATTTCTCAGGCCTCAGCCCTGCACTGATTAAAAGCCGCAGTCATCCGTTTTGTTTTGAGAAGTGCCAGGGTTTTATGCTCAAGGAACCCCCTTCCCTCCTCACTGTTTCCAGCTGCAGAGGCATCAGTGTAGGGACCACACACCAGCTGCCCGGCTCACAGCAGCCCCACTCACTTGGCTAGGAGGCCTGGCTGAGATTAAACCCCAGGCGGATGGGGGAGGCCCTTCCAGGACCAGCAGCCAGGGAGCCAGGGGCACAGTCGAGTTGCAAAGAGCCACCCTCAAGACCCTGACCGCCAGCCCTCAGAGCGGAGCTCCTTGTCCATCCCACAGTCAGCTGGGAGGAGGTCAAAGAAAGCAGCACACGGCATTTGATGCAGTGAGACTTTCCCTTCAACTTTTTTTTTAATCTAAACAAATTTATTGACCACATAACAAACTTACTCTGAGAGGAAGTGCAGGGGAGGGATGACGGAGAGGGACACATCTGGATTTTCACCCAGCCCCACCTGTTAGCTGGGAGCTGTGTCAGAGCCCAGCTTGCATCTGATTAGCTCTCCCATTGGGAGGCATGAGCCAAGGGTGCCAGGCAAAGGCAGTGCCAGTGGGTTACAGCCTTTGCCTCCCGAGGGCAACCCGAAGGGGGTGGTTTTTCTGTTCCTCTCCTCCGTTCACTCTCACCCACACCAGAATGACAGCTGTCCTGCTCAGCACCGGAGACTCAGGAGCTAGCCCAGTGCCAGGTACTAATGACAGGGGTTGTTTGTTTTTGTGGATGCTGGGGATTGAACCCAGGGTATTTGCATTAAGCTACATCACCAGATTTTTTTTTTTTTTACTAAATTGTCCAGGCGAGGCTCAAACTTCTCAGCCTCCCAGAGTGCTAATTACAGGTGTGTGCTACCACACACGGCTCCAGTGACAGGTTTTGGAAGAATAAGAATGGAGGCTGGAAAGGGGTAGAGACAAGGAGCACTGGGCCGAGGGTGTCCTTCCCACCCGAGCATATCTCTTCCCTGCCAGGTGGCCCACGGTCTTGGAATCAGAGGGAATATGTCTGTCTGCTCTGATTCCTCAGCTGTTTTTCTCGCCCCAGGTTTTGAAGCAAATGTGTGTTGGACATGTGGTACTGGGCACAGATGTCTCTCTTTTCCCCTACAACTTTGGAGTCCACTGTCCTCATGCTGGCAAGGCTTAAGGGACACGACAGAGCTGGCCTTCCCGGGGCCACATCAGGGGCCTTCCATGAATCACTCCTTTGGACCCTCCCCGCCAATTACCCTCCCCACAGAGTGGAGCATCAGAGACTAAAGGAAATAAAACAGGGCAGAAGATGCACCAAGGAGCTTCTGGTGAGCCCCAGAAGGCACAGGCAGTGCGTCCCGAGGAAGCCTGGGGCCTTCCTGTCTCTCTCATGCCTCTTGGTGCCTCCCCAGTGACTTCCCTCACCCTCCACCTCAAACCCCTCCAATGTGGTAATGAAAAATTCAAAGCTCCACATGGGGTCTGATTTTCAACTCTCTAATTGGATTAACAAAAGCAGGAGTGGAGTGAGCCAACAGCCCTTCCTCCAGGACCGACTGGGCACCACTGCCACCGCCGCCCAGCTGGCCCCTCTCCTCCTTGCTCCTCCTCTGCTCAGCCCCTCACCCCTCCCTATGCCGGTTCGGTTCCCCCACTTACCTTCCATCAGCTCCCAGTCGCAGCCTCCTCCACTCTGGGCCCTGCACTTTCTGAGTGCCAATAAAACTTTCCCTTTATTCCCTAATTGAAGGAATCTCAGTCTGATCTCTTAAAAACCTGAGGGATGGACTATTTTTAACATGCAATTAATGAAATAGTCTTTAAAAGTTCTATTTCATTAGGTTCTAGAATATACCCTATCTACTAAAAGAGGTTCAGGAGAACAGAACTAAAAGTTTTTTAATAATTTAATTAATTATATATAATTTATATGTTGGTTATTAGCAGGCAAGTACAGGCCTCATTTTTTCCTTGTTCATGTTTTTAGTTTAGTTTAGTTTAGGAGTACATGTGTATAGTACATAATGCTTGCACCCTTGTGGGAAGTTGGCACAGGTACAAAACACATCCCAATTCCTTTTTTGCCCCTCTCCATTCCCTCCATCTATTGATTCCCTTCTTCTTTGAGGATGATCTATCTCCCTACTTCCTATTATCTATCTTTTATTTTGCTGTTTATTTTTACTCTGGGTTTCCCATATAAGAGAAACATGTGATATATAAGTTTGTGCATCTGGTTTATTTCACTTAATATTAGGGTCTCAAGGTACATCCCTTTTCCTACAGATGACTCGAGTCATCTTCATGGCAGAGTGATGCTCCTCCATTGTGTATAAATACCAAATTTTCTTTATCTATTCATCTGTTGATGGACATATAGCCCACTTCAAGATTTAGCTATTATAAATTGTGCTCCTATAAACATGGGTATGCATATATACTATAATATGATGTCTTTAACTTTTGGGAAGATACTTAAAAGGGGAATGGCTGGATCATATGCAATTTCTAGTTTCAGTGTTTTGAGGAATCTCTTTATTGATTTCCATAACGGTCATACTAGTTTAAATTCCCACCAACAATGTAGAAGAGTTCCTTTCCCCCTGCAGTCTCTCCAGCATTTATAATTATTTGACTTCTTGAAGATAGCCATTCTTTCTGGAGTAAGATAGAATCTCAGTGTTGATTCAATTTGCATTTCTTTAATGACCAGCGATGCTGAGCATTTCTTCATGCATTCCGTGGCTATCTGTACTCCATCTGAGAAGTGTCTATTCATTTCACTTGCTCATTTTTTTGATTGGGTCTTTTATCCTAATCAGGGGTCTAATTTTTTTTGAGTTTTTCATATATTCTAGATATGAGTCCTCTATCTGAAGTATAGCTGGCAAAATTTTTTTCCCATTCTCTAAGTTGTCTCGTCACTCTCTTGGGGGTTTCTTGTGCTGTGCAGGAGTTTTAAAATTTGCTATGAACCCATTTGTTGATTCTTGGCACTATTTCCTGTGCAACTGGAGTTCTGATCAGAAAGTCCTTGCCAAACAGGTGTGGAAAGGCACACCTGTGATCCCAGCACTCAGGAGGCTGAGTTAGGAGGATCACCACAAGTACAAGGCCAGCCTGGGCTACATAGTGAATCCCTTTCTCAAAAAAAAAAAGGTCCTTGCTTATATCTATGACTTCAAGAATTTTACCTAGTTTGTCTTCCATCAGATTAAGTGTTTCTAGTTTAACATTTAGTTCTTTGATCCATTTTTATTTTAGTTTAGTACATTGTGAAAGATGTGGGTCTAGATTCCATCTTCTGCATGCGGGTAGCCAGCTTTCCCAACACCATTTGTTTAAAAGGCTGTCTTTCCTCCAGTGTATGTTTTTTGTAAATGGCCTCATTATTGAGATGACTAACATTTCTCAGACAACATCCAAACCTTGGCAAGACCACCTCTTTTTTTAATTACAGATACAGCTAAAAGAAGGAAAGGAAAGAACCATTCTGATCTGTTTCCATGATCCATAGTAAGTGCTTTGGGGCGGGAGGTGCTGCATCTCAACAATAAGAAAACCCCACACCACTAAAAATTCTGGATATATTATGTACAGAATGTGTAGAAAATTTTAAAGGAGGGCTGGAGGCATGGTTCAGTGGTATAATAGTCAGCTAGCTAGTACAAGCTGAGTTCAATCCCTAGCCCAAGAAAGAAAGAGTGAGAGAGAGAAAGGGAAAGAGGAAAGGAGGGAGAGAGGAAAGGAGGAATGAAGGAAGGAAGGAGGGAAGGAAGGAAGGAAGGAAGAAAGAAAGAAAGAAAGAAAGAAAGAAAGAAAGAAAGAAAGAAAGAAAGAAAGAAAGAAAGAAAGAAAAGAGAGAAAGGGAGAGAGAAAGAGGGGAGAGGGCTGGGGATTTAGCTCAGTGGTTCCGCAGCTTGGCCACCTGCCTTGCAAGCACAAGGTCCTGAGTCCCTGGTACCAAAAGAAGAAAAACAGAAAAAGAGGTGGGAGGGAGGTCCAAAGAGAAACTTAGAGGATATAATAAACATGAAAACTTTATTTTTGTATTTTATTAATCATGATGGCTTTACTTTATCAGTGATGTAGAAAGACAAGACAAAATATTTGCTTAGAGTGAAACTCATCATTAATGACAGTTGCTGTACATGAATATTCCAGGTGAACTTCAAGATCATTTCAAGTTTTCTCATCATCGGAACTTGCCAGATCACTGCTCTGCCTCACACTGTCTGATACGTGGACCAATCAGAGCCACTCTATGAGTAATCACTAATCACTTTTGTTTCTTGCTTTTAGATATACTTCAGATAGAAACAAAGGTTCTCCTCTTCCCAATGTCGGGAGTTTGTCTTGAGGCTGACTTTGAGTGCCCACTATCTGGTATCCCCTTGTCAGTAAAGGTCTTTGATTCTGCAGTACACCCAGAGATGGACCCCTTCTTGGCCCTTCATCCCACTTGCTCCTGCTCAGCACTCCCTACTTACACACTGAGCCAAAGCCAGTGTTTTAGCCCAAGCTCTACACACTGTGAAGGCCTGGGCAATACTTGGTGCTCTTGGACATGGCTGGGGCCCAGAGCCGGGCCTCACACAGTGCTCTGAGAGCACCCTCCACTGCTCTCATCTGCACAACACTCTCCCCTCCTAGTAAGGCCTTTCCTTCTCCAAAGCACATGGCCCCTTCCCTTATCTTTTCCTTTCCCTTCCCTTTCCTTTCCCAGGAACCCAGTCTTTGCCTAAGCCCCAACCCTTCTTCCCTGCCTGGAGGAATAAGGGGAGAAGCTCCTTTGGATGTGTATAACGGTGTTCACAGAGGTGGGACCACACTGGACTTTCCACCTAGGACTTTTTACTAATCATTCTTCTAGGGAAAGCAAGTCACAAATCTGCTCTGTGACAACGCCAGAATTTAAAGCTGAAGTCTAGATCATTCCAAAGCCCACACTGTTTCCAGTGCTCCAAAAGTAGGGTATGACTAGAGTTTATACTTGTCATATATGTTTCCATACATGCACTTAAATATACATGTGTACAGAGCCATACAATGTAAATGAATAGAGGGCACCTGGGCAGGTAAAGAGCGGAATTGGGTAAAGCTGACACATCCCAGAAAAGTCACAGGTCCCCTCACATGCCAACTGGGGAGCCTAGAGCAGCCAGCCTCCTTAACCCACACCTAACACCTGCTCTCAATGATGAGGAGAGAATGTGGGTGTGCCTGCTTACAATACCCTGGTAAAACTAGAAAAGAGATGGGATTGTCTGCTTGGAACTCATCTCTTTGGGCTCTGAAGGGATGACCTTGGATAGAAACAGGTTCTAATTTAAAGAGAAATTGAATTTCTTGTCAAGGTAATAATGACCCAAATGCTATGTGGGGACCTTCTGCACCAGTCACCAAGCTTGAGGGAATAAACTCAGCGAGGAATTTGTGGTCCTTCTCTATCTACGTGACTATGCAAATGGCAACCAAGTGCAAGTTTCAAGAAGAGTGAGAAGAGTAAAAACAGCAAAACAGGACTTGGCTCCCCTCTCCCTAAATAGGATGAGTTGTGGGAAGGGGGAGGGGTGCCATTTCAAAATAAAATTCTATACTCCCTTTGTTCACCTCACACTTTATGGGATTGCCAGGCCCCTTTCTCAGAGCAGAAAGATGGCTATGGCCATGAAGACGGCATCATCCACCATTTATCCTATACATAGTTTGTGCCAAGAGTTGTCCAAAACACTTTCTAAACATTATCTCAGCTCGCCCAACAGTCCCATGAAGTAGCAATTAGACTTATCTCCAGACAAGAACATTGAGGCTCAGAGGCGCTTGGTAACCATGCCAAGTTCACACTGCCATTGAAGGGTGAATCCAGGACTCAAATCCAGATCTGTCTGGTTCCAAAGGCCATGAACTGAACCACTACTCTAGGCACCTCAGGTTGGAAACTAAGGAGAGAAAGTTCACACTTTTACAATGCATTTATCATGGAATACTTTGATCCAAGAACTATTTAAGACCAGCCATTCTCTTCCTGGTAGGTGACCAGGAAGTATCATTTCCTTCATCCATTCATTCAATAAATATATACTGACAATCTACTATGTGTTAGGCACCATTCTAAGTGCTATGGATGGATACAGCAATAAAGAAAATTTCCTGTTCTATAAAAATCAAAATGTGATAAGGGAAGACAGATAACAAATTTATAATAAATATATTATTATGTCAGAGGTGATAAGAACTGTAAGGAACAATAAAGCAGATGAAGATGGTGAGTGATGGGAAGGGGAAGTTGGTATTTTGGATGGAAGACTACTCTGGCAAGGTGGCATTAGATCAGAGACCTTAAAAAGTGAGAAATCAACCAATCCAAGCACCAAGGAGCAAAGCTCCCCCCAGCGCAGAGGAAATGAACCTTCTGGGCCACCATACCAGCAACCCCAGCACCGAGGAGGTGAGCCTCATGGGTGCCAGCAACACACACCCCTCCTCCCTCACCCCACCCCCACTGAAATGAGAAAACACATAAACAAATCTCAAAACCAGACTTCCTGATCACCTATAGCAACATCAAAGGGAAACCAGATGGAACAATCTGATATTCATCCACCTGGACTCCCTGAACTGGCAACAAAAGAGGATCTGGAAAAAATGAAATCAGAAATAATTTCTCAGATAACAGAAGAGATTGTGCCCATAGT